TCCAAAATGTCGCCAAACTACCTGTTACCATATTCCAAAGTTCAGCCAAATTTTGTTAATCTTATGTATTTGTTAAAAGTTGTGCTAATTTTATAATCTCATTATTTTGTGAAGCTGTTTATGGTAGTATGCAAATATACTGGTTATTTCTAAAGTATTAATGCATATCTTTTAAAAATGTACCTCGATGTGTCATACATACGTTGACATCTTTGTTAATTTTTTTCATAATAGTTGTGTTGGGGGTATATATAAGAAACTGTATGAGTCATGCAATATTTTTGTCAGTTCATACTCAGTTGATGATTATTTGCAATTTTACATTGTCTTCCTGTAGGTTAATTGTGGATTTTTCTCAGAAAAAATTTTCTTTTTTTTTTCAAAGTTCATGTTAAAGACCAAACTGCTTTGTTGTTAAAATAATGTTTTGAGGGATTTATACAATGAATTAGTATACTGGAGGAGAGTAAAGTGCTTTGATAGAAATTTGAGATTTTCTCTTGGGAAATTCTGAAGCACTGCGGTTTTTAAAATTTTAATTAATAATTTCTCAATTTTTAATGCCATGAGAATGAATTTTTTACTCTAATGTAGCTATTAAAATTTTTTTTTCTATTGTATTCATATGAAAATTCAGTTTTGATGCATTTTTACTGAAAGGTGTCGATCAAAATTGTTGTAGTTTAAATGTCTGTTTGGTAAAAGTATATTTAAGGGTACCCCTTGCCGATTTTTGGTGGTACATGGATACCAAGTTTGTGAAATTCTTTGGCTTGTGTAGAGGCGATTTTTTACGCCGAAAATCGCCGCTACGCAAAGCCAAAATAACGAGACAAAGAATTTCACAATTTTGGTATCCATGTACATATTGACCTATTTTCATTTAAAAACAAATTCCAAGAATTGCACAAAAGTGGCATTGCGCACTCCCTTGACTTTATCCATGTACACATTGACCTATTTTCACATAAAAAAAAAAAAAATATAACAAAAATTTCTTACCATATGCTAAAAATAGATTTTGTTGATGATACTAATTAGCCCAAAGATTGCATTTAGGGCTATTTTAATTAAGAATAATTGATTTGTTATTCACATAAACCCAGAACCAGGCCTCGTATGGCTGCACAGAATTTAGGACCCACATCAGGCGGTAAGCTATCTAGCACTGACCCTCAATAAAGCTTAAGTATATGTGGGAATTCATTTATTCAGAACTCTGATGAGCCTTAAGCACACGCAAGAAATAGACACAAGTATAATAAATAACTAAACTAATACAATTCAGGCATAATTTTCTCAGTGCGTGATAGAAGCAAGATAAAATTTAATGGAACAACTTGTAGGTAGTCGCTAAGCTCATGATGCATAGTCAAATATGTATAGTGAAGGATAGCTAAATTTGATGATGATAGCCACTAATTTTAAAGGTTTTTGGATATCACAAAACAAAGGTGAAATTTTCCAATTAACGGATTTTGTAAAGAAATGTGGAGAAGCGATAATAAATGAAGCTGATATAAAGGAAGTTTTTCATTGTGATGACAATGCTTCTCAATCATGAATCAATTAATGAATGACAAAATCTGTAGTATTGTTCTAGATTCAGAAAATACCTCTACCAATAGTGAAAAAGTGACAAAGAAGTTACTGGAAACGAAGAAATTTCGATTAACAAGTCAGCCGGAATTCTCGACACCACAATTACAGGACTTCAACAGCATAACTAAACAAGAGATTATGTGTGTCTACAGAATTAAAGAGAAAGTATTAGCACAAAAAATGAAACAACTTAAAACACTTATATTGAAAGAAATGGTTTAATAAGGTAAACAAATAAATGTTAAGCTTTTTTTTTTTTTTTTTTTTTTTTTGTAAATTTTGATACCCTTTAGATCATAAATACTTTATTATTTCGTAAATCACGATTTCATATTTTTAATTTTATAATTTCTACATGCCATCTTACTAGATTTAAACTGATGATTTAATATCTGGAAAAATACCAAATCCATAATCACCGAAGTCCCAACGAGTCCGGATTTTGGAATTTGTACTGTATCTACTTCTCATCTTCAGTTAAGTTTTTTGGGGAAATTTTGTTCCAAAACGCGGTAACAATTCTTAGAGCATCTAAAACATTGAATTGTGTCCCAACAGTCTTTAATGGGTAGCTAATTGTTTTGTCTTAAAATTATTCAGATGTGTAAACCGTCATTGGAACTACTCTTATACACGGCCTCGGTTGGCAACAAATTTCTCTTCATGAGAAACTCCACACCACCATATTATTTAAATTTTTTGTCTACATTTCAAATTTTAAGCCTAAAATGTCTGCGTGCGAAAAGCGCGTTTTTAACACACAATTTACGCCAAAAATCCAAAACAATGAAAATTTTAGACAGCAAAAACGTAAAGTTTCTAACTAAAAATGTTTGGCAAGAATCCATATACACAGCAATCTGTTTTAACTTAAAAAATAAATCAGAGAATTGCACAATCTGTGCAGCTTAGGAATCTAGGAATTACTCACACCTCGCTAAAATAAAGTAACATAACAACAAATTTCAAACAGTATCATGTACACAGTGTTCTGTTTTAACTTAAAAAAACATCAGCAAATTGCACAATCGACACATCGTGCACAGCCTGGGCATTGCGCACAATTTAAAAAATAAATAAATAAACTGAAATTACAAACAATTCAATAAAACAATGAACATAACATTCAATAAAATAAAATGCACTTCACATTGTAAATGCTTCTTCAAACAGTTTAAATATCAATTTCAAACATCAGCAAAACTCTTCAATTTCCACCACTTTATCCTTTCCCCCATCTTCTGAGACGCAGAGCATACAAAGTCCAGCATACATTCGTGAATAAAATTTCTTTAGTCACACAACATCTGTGAACAAAAGTGCCACAATTTTGCTATATCACACGTCTTTCTGAGATTCATATTTTCGAAAGCAACGATTTTACCTTGCACGCAATCCAGATTTGCAACTGAAATTTTGCCACCACCTCTTTGATTGCAACATAAGCCATTTTAAAACGCCTACCAAACCAACCAACCAGCAAAATTAAGTTTCAGTGACAAAAAGGGTTGCCATGCAAACAACATCGTGTCAAAGACCATCGCAGAAGAATGCACAGTCACGTCAAAAACCAGTGCAGAACACATTTGGCGATGCCATACATCTGAGGGCGTATGTAAAAGTAATACTCAACCATCTTATATAAGCATGGAATGGTTTGATGGTTTCTTGTATTAATGAAACAAATTGTCAGGAATTTAAGAGTTTTAGCCACTTGGATGTTGGTTAGCTGATGGTTATTTTAAAATTGATTATAAAATATTGCCTTTTTTAACAAATAAAAATGGTATAAAAATTAATGTGGTAAAATGTCTGTTATGTTATATATGTCCTATATATGAAAAGTTGTAAATAACTACAAGTTTATGTCTTAACTAAAAAAAGCTGTTTTTTTAAATGTATTTATAAACAGTTTTATATTGTACTTCATTTTTCACAATTTTGTAAGTCATGTAGAAGAAGGGTTATTGCTTTTATATTTATATTGGCATCATTATTTGTTTATATTTAAATTTACTAAATTATGTAATGTTCAATCTGTACAGCTAAGACTGTGACTGGTAATGGTTGATTGTGTTATGTATTACCCAGTAAGATAGCATATGATAGACAATTTTCTGTTATGAAATGGTTATTTATTGTTTTATTTTGCGTATTGAAGTTCATCATTTTTCTCCCATCTGCTTCGCATTCCGATTGTTGTTTTACTGTCAAACGACATTTATATGTTTAACGACACTAAACTCTCATGTAGTTCAACTTTGTTATAATTAATAATAGGTTTCTTGGCTAATTTTTACTGTACGGTACCCCTTGGTTTTTGTCTGAGAAAATTGCCAAATGGTATTGGTTGTTCGTGAAATTTGGAAGCCCGCTGTGTGAAATAGGTTTTTTTGGTAACCCTAATGTTGATAATGTTGGCAAAACTAGCCTTGGGGAATTTATTATTTTTTTTGTGATTAAAAAGGGTTATTTCTGCGAATGTCACCAAATGTGTTATGGTAAATTTAGATTTTGACAATTTTTTGTAATAGTAACCCTTTTGTATGGACCCAGGTTTTTAGTTACCATTCTTTTCAGTTGCTGTTTGGTTGCATGTGTGTGGTATGATCCTTGTATTTTGAACTATTATTCTGCTGTGGGTACCATCATTTGAGTATGTCTGAGGTGACTAAGAGGATGAATGTTTATGGGTTGGATTATTATGAAATTGTAAATTTGAGGTTTTTTGTATGGGTTGGATGATGAACGAAAGACATTTAATTTTTGCATGAAAGCTGGTTTAATTGCTGATAGACATGAATGAGCCGAAACGATGAAAAATTTAATTGAATTGCTTATCTGGAGGATGGAGAAGGTGGTGGGAAGCCTAAATGTATGCATGTGAGAAAAGGTATGTTAAAAAATTGACGTTTCATTAATTTATTAGTCTCTGTGTGTTAATTTTTATTAAAATATTTGTTGTTTTATGTTAAGAAAAATGTATTTTTTGGTTATTTATTCTTCACTGTTTCTGTATTTTTGGTTATTTGCATGCCTCTGTGTGTTAAGACAGTGGCAAATTTTTTCTGGTTACCATGATAGTTTTAACTTCCTGATTTTGTTTAACTGAAAATAGATTGATGTGTACATGGACAAATTTAAGGTAGTATGCAATGCCTAGTTTTTGCAATTCTCTGACTTTTTTTTAATAAGTTAAAATAGGTCAATGTGGACATGGACACCGAGTGTGTAAGACTTCTTATTTTGGTTTTGTGTAGCGGCCATCTTGAAATTGGTACCGATTCTTCTTGGCATAAAAAAAGAAACGATTCACCAAGGGGTACCGTAGAGTAAATTTTTACCAGTTTCTTTACTGATAATGTACTTTAAGCAACTGAAAACAAATAAATTGAAAGTATTATTTATTTTATTTTGCAGCTTCAGGGATTTCAATACCATTCTGGGATTTTACTGGAAGTGTTATGATAACAAATCATTACATACGACTTACTCCTGATTTACAAAGTAGAAGAGGAGCTATTTGGAATAATGTTGTAAGTTACTTTTTTGTATTATTTAAAGCTTGTAATATGATTCCATATTGTTGTTGTGAGGTGTGGAATCGGTGATATCTTTCTAAACAATCACTTCAGATAATTAAAAGTTTACAGTATATTATAAAACTTAATTGTGCAGTGTGTTATTAGTAACTGCAAATAGCTAAATGAAAATGTTTATCTTTAGCAATTCCTCCTTAGCATACAAGAAATATTGTCATTTACCAAAATCACTTGCATGGTAAACTCTGAATTACACTTCTGGTAATGTCAAATGTCGCAGGTAAATAACAACTAACAACTTGCCTGAACTCTCTAAATCATATTTATGTAGTGTAACATGAGCATGAGTCTAGTGTAGCAGGAGCTTCTGGAAGCTTTGGTAAGAATTGATCGGTAAAGCCTGTGAGAAATGTATTTGCTCAAACTCATGATCTAAATGAACTGTCTTTACAATTTAAATGTTGCCTCACTCAGAGCCAAAAGACGAACAGTTTTACATATAAATAACTAAATATGTCAGTGCACAGTATTACAATAATGCAGTAAAAAAGGGTTTAAATATTTATAGGTATATACTCACCCCTCCCTTAAGGACAGCAGTCATTTTCATAATAGTTTCCGCTGATTTTCCATCTTCTTGATTATTAGCATTCAAAGAAATCCAGAATTCTGACACCAATTATTTCGGGCTATGAGTTCTTTGAAATCACTCTGCATGATATAATACTTGATAAATAGGAAGATATAAATTATTTATTGTAAAAATTAACTGCATATGGCACAAAAAATAACTACAAATAGCTTGAGGAAAATGCAGATATTAAGGAGTTCTTTTGTAGTGCACCCCTCGGGCCTCATTTTTAGTGAGTACAGGTACGGCACTCCTAAAGTACTCTAGGCCTTCAGGGGATCTTCTGAGTGAGATGGCTGTCTCGATCTAGGAGCCCCAGTGATCTATTCTCTTTTCTGTCTCCTCTTGGCTGGAACTTTTTTCTTTCCCTTCTGCCTTGTGGTTTTCCTCTTCGGAGGTTGGGGCTCATCAAGAGAAACTAAAACACCCTTTGTCTCTTGTTTTCGAGTGGCAAAGGAAACTGCCCACGTGTTTGTCATGCGTGGAGACCCATGTTGCTAAAAAGGAGGGTCTTAGTAGTTAAGGGGCGAGGTACTTTTCCCAACACACAGCTTTGGCCTCTGCTTCAGCTAAACAGGAGGCACCTTGTTGTCCTCACAGGTGTCAATCGGCTGTACAAATTATGTCCTCAGGGAATCATTAGCAATTGAAAAGAGAGCATATAAAAACCATCAAATCTCTTTGTTCATTAACTCTCTGACCAGCCAGTGTTTTCTCTAAGAAAGTACAAATTTCCCAAAACTACTATGAGGAAAAATTATTTTCTTGATTTTAACCCTTTGACAGTTTCATTTTTTTCCAGAATTCGGTCAAAAAAATGTGACATTTTTTTTGTTCATTTTACATTTTTAAGTAAAGATATGTTATTAAAATTAACATTTCTAATATTTTTAAGCATTTATTACAACTTTTTTTCTTTGATGAAAATAATCAATTTTCCCTGCAAGTTGTTTTTTCCCCCTACATGAATGCAAAACAGGGAAGTTACATTTACAATTAAAATAGTACAATTACTTAACAGATATTTTCGATTACAATTCAATTACATTTACTATTATGTTTTGATACAAAACATACTTACCCTTCTTTTTTTAAAGATCTGATTTAGTGTGATATATCTTAAAGCAAGGTGACAGGCACAGTCCAACATCACAGTCTGGGCAAAAATACCTTGTCTCTTTTCTAATTCTTTTGCCATTGTCATTTTTTTTCCCGAATGAACACACATAACACTGTCTTGCGGGTCTTAGTTTTTTGTCTGTAGGTGGAATAACCTCTAAAAAATGTCTTTCTGTTAGTCTTAGTGGAGTTGGTAAATATCCAGGACAGCCTTTTCTTTCTTCTACTACTGCATGCCTTTCAATAAGTCGATCGATAATTTCCAATCGAAACTGTAAATTCGTATCTTTACCGCCGTGCTTTTTATACTAAACATAAGTGTTCCATAAACAGATGTCTAGAAGATGAAAAAATATTTTTTTGTAGTATTTCTTTCCTCGTTTCTTTATTACAGGATAATTACTTAGGTTCTGGTCCATTCGATCTACACCACCCATTGTGTTATTATACTCCATAACTAATTTAGGTTTTCGTTTAATTTCATTCGTCGAAGTGGATACTTGAACCATTTCCGAATTATGTATTGTAGATATGAGAGACAGGGCTTTTTAGTCCATCCATTTCATAATGCACACTTTTTCCCTCTGGTAAGCAAGCATTTGCCCTTTTTGAAGTTTTTTTTGGTCAACAGCGCTTTAGGAATTTCCTTTCTTTGAAGTTTTAATGTTCCGTACATATATATACAGTAACTAATGAGGATATCTGCTATTTCAGGAGATGAATAAAAGTTGTCAGTTGTCAGACAGTATCCTATATGTAAAAGTGGTTGCATAAGTGTAATAACTACCTGCAAAGATTTGCTCAAATGTTTGTAACTTTCATCAAACACAGTTCCTTTTCCGGTGTATATTATCATAGACTATACATATCCAGACAAAGATTCACAAAGCATGTACAATTTTATTCCGAAGCATGATTGCTTTAGAGGGAATATACTGTTTCCAACTTAGTCTTCCTTTGAACAACATAAGACTCTCGTCTATGGTAACATCACGTTCAGGGATGATCATTTCTTCCAAACGAGATTTTAAATGCTTTAGCATGGGCCATATTTTTGATAATTTTGGACACTCATGAGAATTTATGTCAAAATTGACATTATCTGAAAAATGCAAATAACTGTAAATTAATTGAAAGCGGCGATATGACATCACTTTTGGAAAAAATGTCGTGAATGTTGAATGCCTCTTGCTCCAATACTGCTCAACAACTGGCTTTTTTATAATACCTTGCAGAATATTCAAAGCAAAAAATGCATGTAATTCATCTTTCGATGTTGGTGTCCATTTTTTGCTCCTGGAATGCCTACGAAGTGTACTGTTTTTATGCATTGCTCAGCATATCTATTTGTTTTAAAAACAATCAGGTCAAGCAAATAATGGTCTATGAAAGCATCATAGAACTGAAGTTTACCTTTAGTCTCATCGATATCCAAGTTAATTTTTGGAATTCCAGTGAAAGCAAATCTAGGAGTCGGATCCGAAGGATTATCACAACTAATTTAAAAAAATTGTCTTGCTTGACTGATTCCATCTGTACTACTATCAGAGTCACTACTATCCAGGTCATTTTGTAAACTTTCGCTACTATCATTTACAGATAATTCAGTTTCTGATTCCGAGTCACACTTCGAATCACAAGAAATTAGCTCCATGCGCTCTGAATTATCCATTATTTAAAAGTAAAAAATATATTATTCAACTCTTACATCAATAAAATTATCAAGCGGTTAGTAAAATATAACCAGAAAGCTATACACTGAAAGATAACAATTCCTCTTCTGATACAAAACATGCGAAAAAAAACTCGCGCTTTTGAACCAATCAGACAGTAAACTGCGAACTATCATTTACTGGACAACTATCGGCATCTATACGAATAATTTGTTACTAAAATTGGAAAAATATGGCCGAAACAGTGCAAGCGAAATAGAAATCAGGTTGCCCGTACGCCGTACGCGCAAATCAGTAAAGGCTCGAAATATGGGAAAAACAGGGAAGGGGTTAATGTAAAAATTCTCCTGGTATTTTATACCTGGATTTGTGTACTTTTAATATATTGACTTAATTTATTTGACATATTTTAATATGCACGCATATATACATACGTTCTTACAGATATCACTAAAAATATTCTAGTTATGGCCTTGCCGGTTAGAGGGTTAATAGAAGGGGAAAAAGCTATTGTGGATCTCAGAAGATGTGTTGGGGTGGGTATCCACTTGACGAAAATTATCTTCCATCTTTTACTTTTCTGAAACAGCGCCCACTGTAACCCAATTTCAACACCGCTGAGAAGATAACTGTGACTAAATAACCCATTAATCACACCTTTTCATTTGCAACTCATTCTGGGGGGTTAGGAAAACACGCGATGAATGTGTCTTGGGGATTACGGTCTAGCCCACATTTTACCCCGAAGAGAGTCTGCCATTACTAACGGATGATGATGCATTTCCTATGAACGTATCTCTCTCGGGACAAATAGTGAACTGTTTAAAATTATGCTAAACAGCAACCTTGTGTTTGGTGTAGGTGTTAATTAAAACTCTGTTAATTTTGAGGGTCAGCAGATACAAGTCCTTCTTTGTCATTCAGATTTTACTACAATTTTTACCCTTGCAGGCAAATTCCACAAGGGCATACTTTAAAATTGGGTTTAAGGAGAAAATATCAAAATCAATCTAAAAAATCCATTGGAACATGGAATGTAACGAAAAGAATGCATACGAAAATGACAGGCATGTTAAAATTGAAGCGTTTTTGTGCACATTGTTGTCAGAGTTTTACACATTCTGAAAGTCTGGCTAATTCTTCTAGAAGCCATACCCTTGGTGGTAATACAGATGTTCTCTTACGAAATATGTGCCCAGAAATGATAGCAATATAAAGTGTAGACATGCTGATAAGTCAATCAACTCTTAAAAGAATTAATGAGGCTCTATTATCTTTTTATAGGAACATATTTTTATTTCCAATTCAATACAATATCCATTTGTGATGCCTCCTTTGCCTAACAAAATTTGCCATTTATGATAAATTTTGTTATGTCTGTGGCTAAAAGAATATTTGGGAAAGTGAAAACTGATTGTTTTGCTAAGGTCTATGAATGGCTATTAACATTGAACAAAGCTCAGCTTGTATAAATTTATGAGTTTTAGAGAAAAAACTTGAACAGGATGTTGGGGTATTTAATTTTTGAATTCAGTAGTTAAAAATACTTTGTTTCTTTGTGTATCACTAGA